TTTTTTTTTATTGCTAATTCAATTTCATTCTAGTGATCAGTTTGTTCAAGTGGTCAGTTTCTTCTTGATTCAGTCTTGGTGGAATGTATGTTTCCAGAAACTTGCCCATCTCTTCTAGGTTATCCATTTTGTTTCCATATAGTTGTTTATAAGAGAACTTAACGTTTTAATAAATTTTTTTTAGAACTTTCTCTACTTAGCAACCACTTTTTAAAATAAATCTGCCTCAATACTTAAAGAGCTTATTTTATTTTCTGAGCATGGAATATTTTAGCAGAAATTCTGATTTCTTTCTGATGAAAGTACTGTTTATTTCATATCATTCACTATCTTAAAAAATTCTTACTAATTAGGGAAAAAACTTTTGGTTGGTACTTTATGGAGGAAAATAATTTATTTTCTTGGTACAAATTTATATTTAGTATAACGAAGTTTTAAATAATTTATTAGATCCTAAAATATCTGACATAAAATTTGAATTTTAGGGAGTAGGGTGGTGGTAGTAAGGTAAATAATTAGTGCAAAGATAAAAAGGACAATATGTTACCGATTTACTTATATAAGAACATAGTTTTATCCTACTTCAAATGTGTTTAAGGACCTTTCTAATAAGCTTCAATAATAAGTATAACATCTTGGAGTATGTAGCCTGTAATAATTTTATTATAGATAGGAAGTACACCGAAGATAGGGTTTTTTAAAATATGTATCAGTGGATGACTCAAAATATGTGCTGTTAAAATGTTGTCTACACTTCTGTACATATAAAAAGCATTAAATGCTCATGAATTTGTGTACTTGCAGAATCTTGGACTTGCTAATACCACTTACTAACCGAACCTGTGACACTGGGCCAAACAAAGTGAGCCCTGTGTACTCAGCAGTGTTTGGAGGGCATGAAGAGTGCCTGGAAACGTTACTCCGGTGTGGCTACAGCCCTGATGCCCAGATGTGCCTCTTCTTTGGATTCAGTACTCCCATGTGTATGGCTTTCCAAAAGGAGTATGTGTATTTGCTATATTTTTATTCTTTTTTGGCTTTATTGATATGTATTTCTAGGTAACTTTGTTTTGTGATAAAATTTAGTATCTCTTAGAGCTAAACTGGTAATTTAAAAAACAAACAAAAAAAAAACAGGCAAAAAAGCCTTCTATGATGCACCATGTTTAGTCAAATTATAATAAAAGTGAGGTGATTATGTCTGATTTTTTTTCCTTCCCTCTTTGGCTCTGGATTATATTTTTAGTGTAGGAATTTTAGGTAGTGCTTTCAAAGATATTAAAGTAAATTCAGGAATTCTCTGATATCCTTGGTCTTTAAAACAATTCAAGAATTAACGCAAACTTTAAGTTATATGTTGAGTAAGGCCTGAGGATTTAATATATGACATGATGACTGTAGTTTATAATGCCATATTATATAACTGAATTTTGCTAAGAGTAGAATTTAAATGCTCTCAGAAAAAAGTAAATATATAAGGTGATGAATATATTAATTAACTCAGTGGAAGAATCCTTGTACATTGTATACATATATCAAATCACCACATTATACACACTGTAATCTTTCAGTCTTATGTCTCAGTAAAGCTTGAGGGGTAAAAAGATAAACAAAGAATTAAAAATGACGTTATCAGGTATTATGGTATAGACTGTGTTTCAAGTTGTTTACCTTTTGAAATTTATATTTATAAGAGTTGTTATGAGTCTAAAAATAAAACTTTAATTTTATATATTATTGCCTTTTTAATGTACTTTGTATGTAGCATTTCTTTCTGTAAGTCATCCTAATTAAGTTAAAAAGCTTTCAAAATACTTGTTTTACTAATCTGCCATGATCCTATGAGTAGAATAAATGAAGAATTATTGGTACTTTGTTAGCTTCTGGCAAATACTTGTCTATAAGACTCCTAAGGTTTTCTTTATTTAAAAAGATTTATTTAAGAGATGATATTATTATCATCATCCTTTTTTTTTTTTTTAAATGAAGGTACTGGAGATTGAACCTAGGACCCCGTGCATACTAAGCATATGCTCTACCACTGAGTTATTCCCCACCCCACTTTAAAATAGATAGTAAGAATAAGGCTATGTGTAAGAGAAGACATACTGGGTAAAAATCTATGGTCCGTCCAACAATGGAATAATTTGTACAGATAGTGCTATTGTTTTTAATGACACAAAAGAGTTTACAGGCATACTTCAAATTTCATTGGCTTTCCTGAATTCACCATTATGGATTGCTAACCATGATTTAATTTAAACATCTATCAAAAACTTATTTGCTAAACCTTTCAGTCTCTACCATCCCTTAATATTTGGTATATGAAATAGTAGTTCATTTTGTTTGCTCTGAATTAAGCTTCTAGGATATACCGTAGTCTGAGTATTTGGGGTTTTGGTTAATCTCAGTATCTGGGATCCATCTGCATAACTTTCATGATTTCATAGAAGCTCACTGTATATACCTCAGGTTTTGTCTTTCTACACAGAGGAGCCCTATTTTAGTTTACTTCCACTAGGGCTGTGCTGATGACTTTAGTTGTCTCAGTGTTGTCCAAATATATCTTATTTCCATTATATTTTATAATTAGGTCAGGATTTTAACATTTTTAAAATTAGAACGTAATGGTTTTGTATGCTTGTGTGTCAGTGTGTCCAATATAACAATAATCTGTTCTGGCCTTTGTCTTGCCTTTTGGAGGAATGATATTTTTGGTTTTTCTGGTCATAGCAGCTAAGCTCATGCCTCATCATCTTATAAGTATAGTTTGAATAATACACTTTTAACCATACCAGTGACCCTTTTAGCCCCCAGACACCTTAAAATTAACATTTTTCTGGCCTGAGGAATTAGGTAAATAGAACCCTGTGGGGCAGAATGTATGAGGAAAACCTCAGAGAAGAGAGAGCTGGAGAAGGAGTTCTCTTAATTCTGTGTACAAACCTGTGTATGCCCAGAGCCCACCCAAGCTTTGGGTTAATGGGACAGACCCAAGTTGTTGAAAACAAGATTTGAACTATCATCCACATCTCCAGGCCCCTCAGTGGCACTTTCATGGGTCCAGACCCAGAACAGCATAGCAAAGGCTTGAGAACTGAACCAAGATTGGAATGACTGTGTGTAGAGGTGAAAAAGAAATTGCAGTCTGAACCTAACCTAACCTAGCAGGTGATATGCCTGCTAAAATAAACAAGCAAATTAGTATTCTTCAAAGGATTATAACAAGACACAGGACCCAGAGTCTACACACCATTAACAATCGACAGTGTCTGGAATATAGCCTAAAATTACTTGACATCTGAGGAGCCAGTAAAATATGACCAATTTTGAAAGGAAAAGACAGTTAATAGGTATCAACCCTGAGACGATCTAGATGTTAGAAATAGCAGATAATTAAAAATAGCTATTATAATGGTGCTTAATGAGGTAAACACACTTGAAATAAATGAAAAGGTAGAAATTCTCAAGTGAGAAATAAAAACTAGAACCAAATGGACATTTTAAACCTGAAAAATATATCTCAAATAAAAAATTAATTACATGAGCTCCATAGCTGAATGAAATTGACAAAAGGAAGAGTTAACTGACTCTTCAAGTTAATTGACTCTTCCTTTAACTTGAAGATAGACCAATAGAAATTATCCAAACAGAAGAAAATAGAGAAAAATGATTGGGGGTGGGGGCAAGAACAGAGCCTGGGAAACCTGAGGGACAGTATCAACAGGGTTGACATTCTTGTCATTAGGATCCAGAAAAGAGAAGAAAGAGATTGGTTCAGAAAAATTTTGTGAACAAATTATGAACAAAAACTTCCCAACATTTGTTAAAGACATAAATTTATAGATTTAAGAAACTAGATAAACCTGAAATAAGATAAACCCAAAGAAAAGCAAGCTTACAAATAATCAAACTTCTGAAAACTAAAAATAAAGAAGAAGCAGTATGGCTTATGGTGGTCTTTGGTCTCAGACATGAGCTAACAAACTTTGTTTTTTGCTCCCCTTGGCAATTTTGTTCTATGAAGTGGCCCTCCAGAGCATAACTGAAATCTGTTTTGGTGACTTTAAAAGGGCTTGTCAGCTATTTTATTCCATGTGGGAACTTGTAACAGGACCAAATGTATTTTTAATTAGGTAGGTTTTCGTGTAAAAAAAAAAAAGTCACTGAAAAATATTATTTGTTAGTTTGTAGGGAAAAAGCCAAAATATCAGAATACCTATTTTATGAGGGTACATTCTCCTTGTCTTTCCAGTTGACTTTTTATTTGTTTGCCTGGGACCTGTGGCAGTAGACTTAATTTTGACACATCTTTGCCATTATTGCCTACTTTGTGGGGAATTTAACTGAAGGGGAAACATTTTCTAAGGGACTGAATCTGAAAGATGGTAGCATTAAAATCATGTATCTGTGCATTTAATGTGTGTATATATGTGTAGTACATTGCACAGTTTTTGACACGTAGTTGTAAAATATCAAGGTTAATTCTCTTCATTTTTGGAAAAGAAATTCATCTTTTGCCATTCTCCATTTATCTAGAAAACAATACCAATTAAATGTCTAATCTCTATGTTACATTTATATAAGCTAATACCTGGCCATCAGTTTGCATATTGTCTCATTGTACATGTAATGTGAAAATCATTTGATCATTTTGGGAATCTCTATAAAGCTGATCAAGCAAGAAAACTGTCATTCCTCCAGTAGGTTTTGTTTTAGCACATCAAGAGTGTAATATAGTCAGTGCTAGGAAAAGAAATCAAAATTGAAAAATTTGTTAATTTTTTGTTATTTCTTTCAGTAAGTATGGATTCTCTACAACATACCTAAATTGATTAATTTAGTTAGAATTATCATTTAAAAAGCAAGGACAATTGAATATAATTTTCACTTAAAAATAACTTTTTTGTGCTGTTTTCTCTTAATGAAATAGTTTATGAATTTCCTATATTACATAATTATTATTAATAAGAATTTGAGTTTTGGTCAAAATAATGGTACCAGGGAACTTGGAAGACTCAGTTTTCCAAAATTAATTTTAGATATTCAAATTGTCAGAGATTTGGTAATAGATAATTTTAGTAGTATAAGTTCTGAAATTTTATTTTAATAGCATCTTTGGGTTGTTACAATAATGTTAGTTTGGTGTGAGACTGTTGTATAAAAGATTTAATTGACACTTACCTGACTTTAGGTGTTAATGAGGGAAAAGCTTTTGTTTTCTTAATTGTATGTTTTTTGGTATTTCTCTGAGATCTTGAAGTTTAGTATTTGTGACTTTTTTTGCATTGTTGGCCTGTTATGTTCTAGTAAACTTCTATCTGCTTTTACAAATAGTATAATTAATATCAAAAGATGATGAAAATAATGAATATAAATAATGGCTTTGGGTTTTAAGTTTCCCTTCTTTATTGTTTTATTCAGCTGATTTAACTTTTTAGCTCAGGATTAGCATTCTGAAACATTTTTGCTGGATATCCCTTGGAGAGGATAAGCTTCTATTAGAAGCAGTGACCTTTAGCTCTTCTCACCACTCCAAGGCGTGATGGAAAGGTGTCTTGTATTTTCTACCACTGTACAAAAGGATTCTTTGTCCTTTGGGGCTAAAAAGTTAACAGCTTCACTGATGTGAAGCCAGTCTTTCAAGGGCATAGCTGAGTAATTCAACTCAAATGAGAAAATTTAAGAACAAGAATCCTTTAACTGGAATGGGTAAGAGAGGAGGGAAGTTGAGAAATTTCAGGACAGTTTGAATAAATATTAATGCTTTTCATATATGACTGTAGAAGAGGTCATGGTTTAACTGGCCTGATTTTGTCTGTTTTTCTAATTGATACTAATTGTTGTTATCCCATTAGTTTTGTAAAAAATCATTGTGTCAATTCTTGTCATCCTATCACACATGGATGCATATAACAGAATCTAATGTCTTTATTTTCAGCTGATGGCTGAAAGCCAGTCAGTAAACTTACTATGTGGCCTTTTGATAATTCAACTAATATGTTGGGTAGCTATTTTGTTGGCTAATTGAAAATAAAATGCTTAAGGTATTTGCCCATTTCTGTTTGTTTAAAAGAAACCTTGTTAACATGTTGAATTTTCTTTTACTGTGCTACTTTTATCTGGGCACTATTTCTGTGCACATCTTTAAACTTCAAAGAGCAGAATGATGAAAAATGTACAGGCCCCCAAATAAGGTCTAGACATTGCATTTTTAGTTTTTAAACTTCTCTTCATATCTTATGATTTTCACTGTTTGTATAATGGGCAGTCTCTTTATGTGCCACAATTAGTTCTTGATATTTATATTATATATCAGTACTATTTCTTTTTAATATATAGGACTTGAAGAGTTTTTTTGTTTCTCTATAAGGGCTTGGAAGAGAACTTATATTAAGTACTGAGAAATTCATTCACATGTCCATGTAATTTATATTTTAACTGAAGATTATCAAAGCCTTATGGCCTACTGTTGCTCAATAGCATGTAATAATAATCAAGGTCATGTGGAGCACTGAAGTTGCTTGAGTTTCTGGGGCTTGTACATATATTTGAGACCTTTGTAAGAGTCTTTGCAGAAGCTCAGGGAATGCTGACAAAGTTTTATGAGCCTCCAGTTTATTGTGTGTTTACTATTCACCATGTAAATGGTAGTTCTGTTGGAAAGGAGTTTATAATGTAGCAGTTGGCAGTTTCATAAGCCTTTTAGGAGTGTGCTTTTGTCCCTTCTAACACAAGGCAGTATGATAATTGGACAGGTTTAGAGCTAGGTTTTCCAAAGTGTGTTTTGTAGAATACCCATGCTATACATTGTTAATAGATAATACACAGAATATTAAAAATAGATACTAAAAAGGGTTCTATAGTTAATTAAATTTGGGAAACACAGGGTTAAGCAGTGGTAAGTAGGTTTCTTGCCTGGAGGACTTCTAAGAATTTTTCTTATGGTGATGTATTTTATGAATTTCTAAGAGTGAAATGAATCTACAAAGGTTTGAAAAGGTGCAAACAATAAATATACCATTATTCCTGTGTTTACAGACTTCTGGGGCTTTTTATACTCTCTTTATTATGCTTTTTTCAGATTAACAGTTGGACCCATTGCTTTAATTCTAAAGTTAACTTCTGAAAGTTATCTGGAGGTAGAAGAAAAACAGTTGAGCATAAAATTTGAAAATATAACTAGTATACTGTTTGAAATTAAGTTTATCTTGTATGTCTCCCTTTTCTGGACTAGTGTATACTGTAAAGGGTTTTTCAAATATTTTTATTATGGAGCCTTTTTCATATAGATTATTCTCAAGGACTAGTGTTCCATGAAACATACTTTGGGAAACATAAGTCTGTCCTTGAAATAATTCTCAATTTGTTTATTTCATGAAGTATTTGGTTTTTATAATTAGGATAGATGTTTCAGTTATTTGCTGTATCATGTTCACTGTTAGACTTTGGTTTGATTTTTTTAATATATTTTTATTGAAGTTTAGTCAGTTCACAATGTTGCGTCAACTTCTGATATACAGCACAATTCTTCAGTCATATTAGGAACATACATATATTCGTTTTCATACTCTTTTTCACCACAAGTTACTACAAGATATTGAATATAGTTCCCTGTGCCATACAGTATAAACTGGTTGTTTATCTATTTTATATACATTAGTATGTGCATGGTTTGATATTATGATCTCAATTCTACCAATTACTAAGCTTCAATTTTTGCTTTTAGAGTGAAGATGGTAATAGAACTTACTTCTTAGGGTTATTGTGAGGATTAAGGCAAATCTCCATGTAACATTTAACATTAATGTCCAGTACAGAATAAACACTCAATAAAATTTGTTATTATAGGGAATTATACATGCACATGTTCCTCTTATATTTAGAGATGGATACTTTATCTATGGCCTTATCTTTAAAATTTCTTTATCATGAGAGCCACATGTCTAGGTGCTATATTTGAAACTTTAGTAAGAAAGCCTCTTGGTTTTGTAGTTTTTTCTAAATGGGAAATAGCCAGAGAACCTATCTGTAGCACTTAATCTAACAGGGTACATTTAGGGCTTCCACTTACCTTGTATTCTGTAGCAAAAATATGTCCTCTTTAAGCGCCGAAGTATCTATGGTTAGGCCATTGATGGTTTCCCATTGCTTGAGGGAAGAATTCAGCTTGTTCCTGAATTGCATATGTAAACACACAGACCTTGAAAATTAACAGTCTTCTTGAGAATTATGGATCACGTTTGTAATGAGGCAATGTCTTGAGCTTTTCTCACAGTTTACCTACATATTTATTGGAATGTGTTGAACAGTCCATATCATATATGCTTGTCTGTTCTGTAGTAGAATCAACAAGTAATAGCTGTAGGCAAAATAAGGAGAAACTAGTTAAATGAGATCGAAGTAGTTGAAATAAATTGGTGATAACTTGTTTAGAACCACCAGTCATAAGTATATACTTTAGCATTTCTTGTAGTTCAGGACTGCTGGCAACAAATTCTTTTGGCTTTCCTATATCTGAAATCAGCCAGAAGCAAAAATACATACAGGGCTGTTTATAAGAATAGTGATATGAATGATGGAGTTTCTAGGAACAAATAGCAAGCTATAGTAGACAAACAACAAAGTTATTAATTTTTATAAAGGAGTTTTAGAATTACAGATTTTTCTTTTCTAATTGATATGCAAATGATTAGTAATAAAATAATTACTGTTTAATCTTTCAACTGAAGAAAAGAAGCACAAATCAGAGAGTAAATGAAATAGATTTACAAAAATTTACATGGGGTAGGTGACATTTTACTTATGTATATAATGTCTTTTTTTTTTTTCTTTTTTTTTGGTGGAAGAAGGTAATTAGGTTTACTTGTTTATTTACTTTTAGTGGAGATAACTAGGGATTGAATCCAGGACCTTGTGCATGCTAAGCATGCTCTCCACTGCTTGAGCTATACCCTCCCCTCATGTATATAGTGTCTTAACTGCTTTAAATTCTTGATTTCAAGTTCTGTGTGTAAGTCCTCAGAAGTAGTTGGCCTCACATGACAATGGTTTAAATGCTTTATGTTTATATTCTCTGTTATTTTTATGACTCTTACTTACTTAGATTCTATAATACTATGATTAATGAAATGTTTCTTTTTTATTTCTAGTTATTCAAAATAGCATTAATGCCAGTTTCAGAGGGAGACTTGTTTTATTTTTGCGTATTTAATTTTAGCTGTCCACAGAGTGAACATACATGTTTACTGAGCTTTATTACATTTAGAATTATATAAGAAACAATTTTTTAAATGTGGCCACACAATCATCAAATTGTAGTTTTTGATGACTATTGCATATTTTGTACTTACCTGCTCCTCTGTTAAACATTAAGGTAATTTCTATCTTTTGAACATCTGTTATAGACAATACTATGGTTAGTATATTTGTACAAATAGAATATAATTTTTAAAATTTTATCTCAGAAAGATTAATTTGCTCAGAGTCATACAGCTGGTAAGTGTCTGAGCAGTCTGGCTGTAAAGTCAATGCTCCTCATAACTTTGCTGTGATGCCTCTTTTGATACGTTTTGCCAAATTAGCTCTCTCAAAAAAGGGTTACACTTATCTTCAGTCAGTTTAACCACAACTGAGCAGTATTGGATGATGATTTTTATTAAAAAGTAACCAACTTAAAAGGTATAAAATGATATATTTTTATTCTATAGAAGCACTTGATAAAGAAGATTAATTTAAATATCTAAAGCTATAAGTTAAATTTTTGTTCATTAAAAAAAAAGCCTTTTCTCTATGATTGCTTTTTACCATTAGAAATTTGCAAGCAGGAAATTGACTAAGGCTATTTCTGAAGGAACTGGTATCTTAGACACTCCTAGACTGAGTCATCTGTCTTTAGGGACTGATCTCATTGTTTGATTAAAACTTTGTTTAGCAAGTATTTTGCGGTAGAGATACTTAATTGTACAAAAGAATCACAATTTGAGAATAGTTTTCTATTTGTCAGTGATAATTTAAAAACTTATTTAAGATAAATGTTTTAAATTCTAAGGGCATGAGTTGTTCATAGTTGAAAATTAAAAACCATGCACAAATTATAAACTAAAAAGTTTTAAAAACACACCGTTCTCTAGTCTCCTGGTCTCAATCCACTAGTTATATGAAAACCATCCACTGTTCCATCTGCCATTCTTGTTTTCCATTTCAAACTACTATTAACTATTTGTAAGAATTATTTTTTGTTAATATAAATGTCTAACCTCCCCTCCCCTCCCCTCCCCTCTCCTTCCTTCCTTCCTTCAGCTGTGAATTCTTTGGAATTGTGAATATTCTTTTGAAATATGGAGCTCAGCTAAATGAACTTCATTTGGCATACTGCCTGAAGTATGAGAAGTTTTCAGTGTTTCGCTACTTTTTGAAGAAATGTCCATTGACACCGTGGAGCCACATATCTGAATTTATTAATCATGCAATTAAAGCACAGGCAAAATATAAGGAATGGTTGCCATCTCTCCTGCTTGCTGGATTTGACCCACTAAGGCTACTATGCAGTTCTTGGTAAGAAATCCTACCATTGCAGACCTTACCTTTTTTGAATAAATATTCTGCCTTTAATTTTCCCCAATTTCTTGAGTGTTGGGAGGAGGGTGGTGGTGTGTGTATGTGAAGACTTTGATAGCTGGATTGGGGTGAAGGAATTGGGGGGAAGCTAATAGTGAGATTGAGTGTAAGGATAGAGTCCTGGAAAAAGGTCAGAGGTAGCTAGAAGGGAGTAGAGAGGAATGGGTGTCAGGGACCCCTCCTGAGAGCGATGTTTCTTCTGCTTAAACCATCCTTCATGCTGCTCTCAAAACGCCTGTGACAGAGTGGTTAGAGCTGCTGTGGAGATGTCTGTCATCTTTTAGTCAACTAGATTGAGTACTCCTGTCCTATAGCATCTTGTCTATTTGAACTTTGTCTCCCTCAATAAGTACTGATTTCTGAAGTAGCTGAGGATAAACTGTTTACTTCAGGTTGTTTCTCACAAGGGCAGCCCCTATGAGTGATTCTGTGAAAGCTGAGTTAGGATTTTTCTAGGGCAAGAAGAGAAAAACTTTCTATCAGCCTCTGCAAAAGTTTGAAGTGTTTAGGTGGGCTGAGAAGGTAATCGTAGCTGTGAGAGAGCTCTTTTGGCCTGATAATTTGAGTCAAATGAGAACACAGAACAGAAGTCTCCAGGAATATAGAGAACTTGGGTATTTTATAAAATTTCAATAAAACATCCAGAAGACTTCCTTTTTTTTTTGCTTCAGAAACTACCATTCACTAAAGTAAAATGTAGACAATACTGAGATTTTGGGTTTCAGAAAAGTGCTTTGATATCTTGTTATTTGAGTTTTGCTTTTCAGAAGAGATCCTCTTTGAGGTTCATGAGGGCAACACTAATGGTTCCCATGCATAAACTTTGTACTTCTGGGACTCCCTCTTCCACCTGGTGGCTTCTGTATCTTCCTGTGAAGAACAAATCTTTATTTGGCAAGATCCCAGTATCTCACCTTTTTATTATGTCTGCCATAATATAGAATTCAAGAATTTTCACTAAGCAGAGGTTTTATGCTTAGGACTGTCATCCCTTTCTGATACTAAGTGTTTCAGGTATGTGGTTTGTAAGGAAAAACTGCTTTCTAACAGAAAGTTTGAGGAATACAGAAGTAAAAGCAGATTTAGATACATGTTCTGATCTTGACTTTTTTTTTTTCAGTTTATGATGGGTTGAGTCCCTGATTGTATTTACTTCTTTGTTCAACTGCTGATTAAAACATAAGTTATCTGTCAAAGACTCATTGTTGCAATGTCCTTTATTCCATTTCAGTAAATTTTCTAAAAAATCCATTGTATTTTTTAGATAATTGAGTGAAATATAAAGATTATTGACAATTGATTGGGGAATCTCTGATTTGAGGAAGTTTTTTGTATATGCATACTTGTTTTGCGTGTGCACACACACATACTCTGCTGAGATATAAACATTCGTCAATGAATGCTATATTCAGTTATTAACAAAGCTGTTTAAGTACCCTTAACTTTTTACTTAGTGAATTTTATGTTGTGTTTGGGCTCCTGACAGCTAGCAACAGTTTCTCCTTGTCATTCTAGAATTCATTCCCCAGCTGCTACTGTAAATCCAGCCGACACATGGTAGCAGTTGGCACCCCTGACAGAGTGTTCCCTTTCTTCTCTCACTCCACTTAGTGCTTATTTTCAAGGCACCCACTTTCTTCTCAGCCACACTCCTTGTGTTTCTCTACTGAAGCTTCTAACTGAACTCCATATTACTTGCCCATTACTTTCAGCCTTCGTACTCCATTCTGGTTTCTAGTTTGTTCATTTCTTTAACCAGTACTTAAAATACCGCCTGACACACAGTAGGTACTATTTTAAGTTCTTGACTGTTAACTCATTTAATATAAAATATAGTCGATATTATTATTCTTATTTTAGAGAAGAGGGAATTGAGGCATTGAGTGTTTAACATAGTTGCCCAAACTCACAGTTTTTGCTAGAGCTTAGATTTGGACCCAGGCTGTCCTCTAGTGTGGCTCAAGTCTGTGTCTGTTACCACTGTGCTCTGCTCAGTTAGCCCTGTGTATCCCCAGGGATACAAAAGTTATAACACTTAATTTCAGATACCTTAATCCCTTGCCTAACTTGGGGAGATCTGGGCCAACTTTTCTTGCTCCTTTCTACTCCTAAATTAGGAAGAACCTGTGCAGGAAAAAAATTAAATATATCTTCTTTTCCTTTCTTCTGCAGACAACTACATAGATGCTGGAAGGAGAGGAAATTATTTAGCTTTATTCTCCCAGAAGTCTTAGTAAATACACTCTCCCATCCCCAGTTCTGATACATAGTCCCCTTCTGCCTATGTGATGAGCCCATTTGCAAATTTTTGTGGTAGTAAGCTACTGGGTTTATGTTAAATTTATTGCATTTGTTAGGATAGAAAAGAACTAATAAACTGCAAATTGTTTTGAATTGTAAAACTTTCAGCTATCTGAATTGAGAATGCCAGTTGCATATGTTTTACTCCAAAAGAGTAACTTTATATTTTATATTCATTAGAAAAAATACAATGGAAAATTTCACTTAGGCAATGAAAATGCTTAACATGGTCAAATTTTTGTTCATGGATCTTTTACTGAATGGATAAAGCCAGTGTTTTTGCTGAGTATAATAAATGTTTTGCTTTCTTTGATCAAATTTACAAAGAGCTGTTATAAAAAAAATTATCCCATAAAAATTCCAGTATGTTGTTAGAGTGGATTTTGGTTGTATCTTATTTATATCACATCTAAGTCTGTTGCTTAATCTTTGTCATGTAAATTATAAATGTCTTTCCTAGGTATTGGTTGTCTTAAACAGTCTTAAAAAATGTATCTGGCTGAATAATTGCCTGTCACAATATAATCTACAGAGTTGAAATATTTTCTCAGCTTTAAGCATAACTAGATTTCCCTCCCATCGGCAATGCAATAGGCGAATAATAGAAAGTAAATGTCATGTGTGCGTTTAGTTGATTAACTGTCACTCGTTTATGATTGTACAACTGCTTTGTACAATGTAATGGTCAATGTAGTACAGTAACAATACATTTTTAGTGGCATAATCAGCATTGGTAAAATAAACTCACCATTAACTAAAGCTGTATGAACAGATTTATTTCTCATGTGTGTGTTTAGATAACTGCATAAAAATGACTTTGTGTTTGGTCACAGTGAGACTTAAAGCACATTAAGGTAGAAAAATGAAACCATTAAAAGAGAAATAAGGAACCAAAACCAAGTAATCTTTGGTGTGGGGTTCCTAGAAAGTCAAGGAGATTGTTTGCCTTTGAATGTATTTTATCATTTCATTTATTCTCAGTATTTCCTAATAAATTGTGACTTCACTGAGAGCTTGAGAAGTAAAATGTTTCCCAAGGCATTTGCGCTACACTTTCAATTCTTCCTTATATAAATTTGAGTAGTAGAGAATTAAGAATTTGGGAAATAATTTTTAGCCTCTCTAATCAGTCACTTGAAGGATACTTTGACCCTGAAATACAAGAAATAAATTATCTTTGAGAAGACAAGTTTAGAGTATTACTCAATTTCTTTCCTTTGCTTCTGTTTTTTCCCTTTTGCTTTGCTCAGTAGTGTGTCCAAAAAAAGCAACCATGAGAAGAATTTCTGTTTCTGAAGTAATCACCAAAGACCCTAATCGTTTTATTTTTCTTCAAACTGTGTGATGGTAGGGGAGTATCTAACTGAGTAGAAGATAAGTAATCTTGTTAGAATTTAGAGTTCTCTTTAAGCTTTGACTAAATTTCACGTGTACTGTGTTATAAGGCCCACTGGGAATGTAATACTGAAAATTTCAAACCAATCCTAGTAATATCAAATATTTATATAATATCTGGTAGTTTTAAAAGTCTGTTTACTGTATTATCTCAATTATTTTCATGAATAGTCCCGTAAAATAGGCAGTTGAGTATTCTCATTTTAGAGACCAGGATCTAAGGCTTAAAGAATTTAGACAAATATGATTGTAAGTAGTAGAGGTGGTATTAGAAATCAGAACTTTTTTTTACGTTATTGCTCCTCCCGTTAGGATTCAAGTGCTTCTAAAATTTAAGACGTCTCTTCTGGGTGTGTTGGTAGGAAGTCTGACATTATTTTGAAAGAGTAGAGGGAGAACTGTTTGTCATCAACACCTTCTTTCAGTCTTTAAAGGCAAAACTTATTCCCTACATCCTTCAGAGCTGTATCTATAATGGAGAACATTCTTAGAGGAGAACAGTCGTGGTACATGCCTGGGAGTTGGTCAGAAACAAGCCATCTCTCCTGTACACTCAGTTTAGGGATAACTTTCAGTGTTTGGGCTTTATCCTTTCAGGACTGTTAAGTTATGTGTCTGTAAAGATGACCAGTCTAGATTTGGCAATGACCCCATTGGGAGGAGATAATGGCAAATCCACTGATAACACTGGTGCTAAGTCTGTCTTTTCTTACCACTGCTGCTGGGGAATGAGAAGGAAAGACTAAGACTACCCTCTGCGGGAGTAGACACTCCTCTTGTCATCTACTGGTCAGCCACACACAGAGTTGCTCAAGTTTCATGCGGGGACCTGTAGATGATTTTTCACATCCACTGAACTTATCTCTAGTTATCCGAATATTTTCTGTGCCTTCAGTCCTCTGTCAGCTTTCCACATTTAAGATGTAAGAATAGGTATGTGGTGTTTGTTTTCAGGACAAACGCTTGGTGTATTTTGTGTCTAACGGTGTGTTAACATCTTGCTAATACAGGATTAACTCAGTCAGCGATGACATCCTTATCTTCACTTTGGAGTTTACTAATTGGAGGAACCTTCCTCCAGCTGTTGAAAAGATGCTCTCTGCTCGTGCCTCAAACTCCTCTCGGGCTCTGCAGAAACACATAGGTAAGAAAGTACAGTTTTCAAACACACGTCACTATTTTTAATTCTCTTCCTTCTCTAAACTAACTGTTGTAATTTTAAGTGATAAGTCACTGGAAAACATATATTTAGTTGGGCATTATTTGCATTTCCTTTGTGTGGGGCAAGGATGGGATTGCGGCAAGGGCATCATAGTAATTTCCTTCCACAAAAATCACATCTGATTTCATAAATTTAGCCTAAGGAGCAAATAAAGAAAAGTAAATGTTTACTGAAATTGTAACGATATCCTTTTATTTTTAGTAAGGGTTGTACAAACAAAAGTGAGTCCTAAAAATCTTATTAGTAAATATTTAGTTTGTGGTCAGAAGAATGCTAAATGCAGTTTTCCTCTTTGGAGCTTATGTGGATTTGTGTTCTCTCTTTTAATATTTTATCATCATCTAAAAGGAAGTATCACCATTCTTTATTTTTACCTGTTCTTACTGAATGTATGCCAGTATGTTGGTATGACTGTAAAGGTGAGCTATTTTAAAACTAATTTTCGAATTACCCTCACTTTTGAAAAAAGCTTTTAAGTTAGTTAAAATGTTAAAGAGTGCGCAGCAGATTTTACACAAGGAAACCAGTTTAAACTAATCATAATATATGCAAATTATTTTATTTATTTAGTCAGATTTTACTCCAACTATATTTTGTTAACCAGATTATGTCTTAAGTTAGAAAAATTATTTCTTCACTGATATTTTTACATGAAATTAACTTCATAAAACATGTTGAATGGGTTTTTAACAAGTAAACTTAATGCATGTGTAGAAATGTGTCTTCTAATTTCTTGGAAAATTACATTTAAGTAAATTTTCTCAATCAAAAACAGACATTCAGGAAAATATGCTCTTGAACTGAGGTGCATTCAGACTGTTAGAGAGGTTTCTTGCTGAAGAAAAAGTGTAATCTGTTTGGAGTCTGAGCCTTCTATTAGAGAATTTCTTTAATGGTAATGTTGGAAAACTCACTTGCATATAAGAATTGCATCTGCTTTTACTAACTATGTATCTGTGGAGGTAGAGAGCAGATAACTATTCTGAATTGATAGAATTTGGGACAGTGGATTTGGAAACAAAGTGGAAAAGAGGGAACATATGCCAAATGGGGAAATTATTGCAGACTATCAATTAGTAAAGATCTGTGAGAGTTTACTCTGAAGACTTTAACATATGGCAGGTTTGTCCAGATGAAGGTAAAAATTGTGCATGAGTGCATTAGCCTGCAGTTGACTAAATCCATCAAAGGCTCCTTGTTTAATTAGGCAGTAGGTAGAGCTTGTGTGAGGTAATAATCGTCATCTCTTATGAGGATTTTATTTTGGCTGAAGACTTGCAGAAGCCTTTCTCAGAGGTATTAAGGTAGCTAATGCCTTTCTGCTCTATTTCTCTAGCCAAGACCTCTTTTCTTGGTTGTGGTCTCATATAGCTAACTGACTTTTGCATATCTCCACTTGGTATACCACATTTTGACATATCCAGAATTTGAATTTGTCATTTTTCCTATGAATCCTGATGGTTTTTCTATTTCCTGATTCAGGAGGTGAGGTGATTTAGGAATGCAGTTTACCAAGAACGTGAGTTACCCCTGGCAGCTGTTTGTTACTTGTTTCATCCAAAGCAGTGGTGTTAAACAGGATGATTTTGCCCCCTTACAGGGGATATTTTAGTTGTCACAATTGGTAGGCGTGCTGTTGCCATCTAGTGGATAGAAGCGGGAGTGTGTGTGTGGACCAGGGGATGCTGCTAAATATTCTGCCAGGCACAGGACAGGTCCCACAATGAATTATCTGGCCCCAATGTCGGTAGTGCCAAGGTTGAGAAACCCTGATCCACTGTGACTCTTGTGTTGTCCAGTGTTTAAAAAGCCCTTTTATTTCTATTCCAGAAAGACTTTTTAACCCTATTCTTATTGCAAACTCCTTAGGGAAAGCTTGTGTTCTTCCTTGAGGTCATAGTGGTCTCTCACGATAGTCTTCAGTGGTTCCTCTTCTGCAGATAATGGGAGCCATCACAATGCTGGATTTTAGTAAGGCTAGAAGGAAAAGATATGCCATCCTCCTCAGTTGCCTGAGTTTCAGAGTGGGATTATGATTCTCTTTCTTTATGTAGTTCAAGACTGTCTTGAATGAACCCAGCTCTTCTTTTTTCTTCAGTTTTCAGGACATTGAGTTTCTGTGTACTGGTCATCTGTACTCTCCCCTCCTTTATTTGGATTTTAAGATGCAAGATTTCTAGTAAGCAGAAGCATGATTAGGGTTTTAACACCAATGAGAGTGAGCTCAGAAAGATAGTTTTTTGATTACTTCTCTAAATGTTTGACAGTCTTGGTTTCACCCCACTTTCTCCAATAACTTATCGTGGTATTAAAAAAAATTGCCTTGTCGGTATATTCTTTTAACTTTTTTGGAAAAGATGCTTCTTGTAGCTCTGCCACAATCAGTGAGCCCCTAGGTAGCTTTAGTTCCCTGGCTCCTTTGGGTATACCAGTGTCTATCCCAAGGGAAGGATTTTCTCCATTTTTTTCCTAAGCTCTTTTCAGGTCTTGGAAATGCCTTATACTTGGTCAAAACCCTCCTTTCCTCACCTTCTTCCTCCTTAAGGAAACAGCAACTTGGCCTGGTAGTTTATAAATAAGAAAGACAACCAATTCCTTGCTGCTCATCTTTTAATCCTTGAGTAAGGTTTGTCTTCAAACAGTTTGTTTACATTAGGAAAGAAGTGTGTGCCAGGTAAACTCTACTGACTGGCTGCAGCTTTAATGACAATTTTTTGATCATGAGTCTGTATATAGCTCTCAGAAACATCAATTCACCACACTGCAGTAGACTTGTTAGCCGAAAAATTTGCCAACCCCTGGCCAACTGACCAAGATCAAGTCTAGGAAATTGTGTTCTTATGGGTAAAAACACTTGGCTTTAGTTCATCCTGAACTTTAGTGATCAAACATAAACAGTTCCATCCAGAGTATTACATGGATCTGATCCTACAAAGGACTGTAAAAGGGTTCCTGGAAACTCTCTTGATCTAGTCATTTCAGTGTTCCTCTGCTTTGTTCTAAACATGATGTAAAACAGTTTATACATACAGACAATCACAAACAGTAAAACATGTAGAATCTAAAACATAAAACAAGCTAGTGAATATCACAGAGAAGAAACAGATTCATAGATACTGAGAACAAACTAGTGGTTACCACTGGGGTGAGGGAAGGAAGAGTGGCAAGATATAAAGGGTAGATGATTAAGAAGTATGGGCTACTATGTATAAAATAAGTGATACAACACAGGGAATGTACCCAATATTCTATAACAACTGTAAGTGAAGTATTTTTTTAAATGGAGTATAACCTTTGAAAATTGGGAATCCCTGTGTTATATACCTGAAACTTACATAATAGTATAACTTAACTATACTTCAATTAAAAATTAAGAACCCCATCAGTATTGGCCTTTCATCTTCAAAAATCAAACATGTGACCTTCTATTTGTAGAGGAGGAAACTTTTTACCCCCCTGCTACTAGCCATGTTATGGGCCTTCACAGCTTAAGCAGAGTCACGCCTTGATTAACAGTCCTGCAGTACTGCAGACTGCCCTTATTATGAGATTTAAGAGCCAAGCTTGGTTTTGTTTTGTTTGTTTTGTTTTAATGAGAAATGTATAGTTAACTTAAAATTTTAACAGGCTTCCATTTGCCCGCTTACAATTTTATCATTTTTGCTGCACACAGCCTCTTATAAATCCAAGTGGTAGTTTTTTGTTTTTTGTGTGTGCTTGGTGGGAAACTTAACTAAACTAGGTACTAATGAGTTGTAGCCACATTTGCTGCGACATTTTGCTGTTAAAACTGCTTTGATGATATCAGAAATCTAACGGTGTGCTAAGAGAGGGGGAAAATGTTGCCCTAGGGCAATTAAAACAGAATTTTTAAAAACATCTTGTCGGTTCACCGATACTACTTTAAAGCCCATTTCACTTCCCATATATGTATTGCATGTGTGCAGGCAGACCCCTGGGACAGCTATATCCTAATTAAAACAAAAGAACATTATTTTCCAGATCCCAAATATTTATTTTAGGGTGGAAAGGCAATTAGGATAGGAGCTTTAGTTTTTGATAGCTTGTTCATCTGATAACTTTTAACCACTCAAATCTATAATTGTAGTTAGTTCCAAATATGGATCATAGGCAGAAGTCTTCAAAGAAGAGAAGCTATCATGTAAGTATTTCTGTAGGTAGGCATTTACAAATATAGCTATTTATATTCATTAATTCCTTAGTGAATGAATTTTTTAATTACACCCCAACTATGTATCAGACGCTGATTTAGAATCTATGAATGAAAAAAAAACATTGTTCTTTAGTGGAGTGGCTAAAAGAGAATGCAGGGTCATGGCAGAATTTTCTTTTAAAACAAGAGAGGCTTGAACATGTTTTATAGGTTAAGGGGTCTCAGTTTGTTTTAAAAAAATTAGATTAAAGATTTGGAGATAAAAGTGATAATTTATATAGTAAGATTTCACATAAGCCAGAGGGAGATGGAATTAACCTTAAATAAACAAACTCCTTCCCTTTGAGAAGAAGAGAGATGACGGGGTAGATGTGAAAAAGTTTATAGTTTGAGTATTAGAAACTGAGAGAAAGAGAGCCTAGGAGACTTCCTGTTTTTACTTAAGAAGTCGGAGGTAAAATCTTGCTAAGAAGGAAACTGAAGTGAGAGTTGGTAGGAGAAACTTGGTTTGGAATGGTTGTTGTGGGAAACAGGAACTAGTGAAAGATTTACGGAGCAATCCTGGGGGCCTCGTGGCGGCTGGAAGTAGTATAGTTTGAATGGTCACATGGTAGCTTTTTCCCAGTGTGGCTTCAGTTTCTCTGTATTGGGGAGCAGAGGGAATATGGTTAGACTGATTCTGGGGATTGTCAGAGCAGGTACAGAAGAATTGAGTTTGATAAAATAAAATAGCATAAGTGATGGGTCT